CTACATATGAGTGCATATGGAAATGATATGCAAGGGTGAGAATGGTTATATAAGGAATAATGTGATTAAGGGTGATATAACTTTTTCCTAAAATTCTTCTAATTTTGGTATGTTGTGTTTTCAATTTTTTTTTTTTTAACAAGGAACTTTCCCATGGCAGGATGGACACTGAAACTATTCTCGGTCTTTTGTCTTAATGTGTCTATTTAAACTGGATACTGTATTATGCAAAAATGGAACTGAGGCATTGTGGAACACAGAGCATGTCCTTTTAAGAGGTGATCTTCGGGCTTCCCTGGTGGCGCAGTGGTTAAGAGTTCGCCTGCCGATGCAGGGGACACGGGTTCGTGCCGTGGTCCGGGAAGATCCCACATGCCGCGGAGCGGCTGGGCCCGTGAGCCATGGCCGCTGGGCCTGTGCGTCCGGAGCCTGTGCTCCGCAAAGGGAGAGGCCACAACAGTGAGGGGCCCGCGTACCGCAATAAAAAAAAAAAAAAAAAGAGGTGATCTTCTAATATTAAGACCTAACCAAAAGCTGCTATTTTAAAATTATCAATGAGGGACTTCCCTGGCGGTCCAGTGGTAAGGAATCCACCTTCCAATGCAGGGGACACGGGTACGATCCCTGGTTAGGGAACTAAGATCCCACATGCCTCAGGGCAACTAAGCCCACGTGCCACAACTACTGAGTTCGCGTGCCTCAACAAGACAGCCCGTGCGCCACAGCTACAGAGCCAGTGCACCCTGGAGCCCGCAGGCCACAACTAGAGAGCGAAAACCCACATGCCACAACTAGATAGAAGCCCACGCACCGCAACAAAGAACCCGCACGCCGCAAAGAAAGATCCTGCATGCCTCAACGAAGATCCCGTGTGCAGCAACTAAGACCCGATGCAGCCAAATAAATAAATAAATAAAAGGGAAAAGAATTTTTAAAAAATAGATAAAATTATCAATGAAAGATATGATGAGGATGATAAGCTCAGTGAAAAAGTGAATGCAACCACACATAACATGAAAAAGCACCCCAGGGGACTTTTGGATCACACCCTGCCTACAGCCCCTAGTTGAACACCTAGAAGCTCTAGAAGATGATGACTACAATATATTATGTTTGGTTCTTGAAGCTGAGTCCTGGGCTCACATATGTATTCAACAGTGATACAAATCATCAAATAGAGAAAAGTAGAAAGATAATCATTCCAATTCACTGTTTTATCAAAATGAATAGAAAAGGGGAAAAATAGGTTTTATTGGAGCCATGCCTTTCAGTTATAAATGGAAAATGGATTGATTGATTGATTGATTGATATATCATCTAACACTCTGCATAGCACATGCTACAAGGTGGGATAAAGTTGCTCATAACTACAAAAGTCACAGCCCTTGCCCACAGTGACTCAGAGGTAACTGGGCTAGAGACAGTGCTCCAAAAAAGGGCAGTTCATTCACACTCCATGGAAACAGAGTTTGGCCAGGCTACTGATATGAACTGATTCTGGAATTAACAGAGGATGGTATGCTGCTGTGACCTATGCTCAATATCTCTCCAGTTGGAATTAGCAAGTTCTCCTCACCTAGAGACTATGGAAAAACTCCTCAATTCTAAGAGATCTGCAATTCTGAATACTTAGGGTATACTTTGCTAATCCAGTTTTGTCTCTACTACCTAGCTATTTCAGATGTAAGAACTCGTTTAGAAAACTGCAGATCTCTGTATCTTTTCCAGTAGTCCAAACATCTACTCCCAAAAATATGGGGGTTGGAGGGAAAGGAGAAAATGCATTACCATGAATAATACACAATAATTTATTTACAATGTTCCATTTAATTTTATATGAAAAACATGTCAGTCACTTTGGGCATCCAAGACCAACTTGCCTTTCTAGACTAATTACTGGAAAGTCCTATGTGCCCTGTGTTGTACACGACCCTGCCTTTGCCCACTCAGTGGCTATAGGTAGTTGAATTAATGTCAGGGACCTAGGTAAGGCTGGACTGACCCAAACAGATTCTCTCTTTAAATGGTTTGAACTAGGAGACACAAAGACTCTCGTCAGATGATGATGGCCATTTAAACCTAACAGTTAGGGAGAGCTAGGGGCCATAATTTTCCTCCATGTACGTACAAAGGAGTAAAAAAGAGAAAGCCAGCTTGCGGAAAGAAATGAGAAATGAAAAAGCTCAGAAACATGAGGAGCAGAGAGACTATGGGGCTTCAGGAGAAAGAGATATGGAAAAGAAGTGACTTTCTTGTGAGAATCAGCTGTACTTCCTGGTTTTCGTTTCTGTGAGATTCCTTTATGTTTTCAACAAACCCTCTTTTTATTTGAAATGCTTTGAGAGGGTTTGTGTTGCAGGTCACCAGAGAGTTTTGATGTAAACATGGGAGTTATATCATAGAGCAGATGGGGAAAGAGGAAGCTCAAAAGAGGGGAGAAATAAAATGAAACTTCCCTTGATCCCAGGCCTGGCCAAGTGTGGACAGGGAAAGGCAAATGTGGGGCTCTGAAATGAAAGAAGTATGGTTTGCAGGAATCTTTGGTTTTGCTTTTGTTTGGCTTTTTTTCCTTTTTATTTTTTTATTGAATTATAGTTGACATACAACATTAGTTTCAGGTGTACAACATGGTGATTTGACATTTATATACATTATGAATTGATCACCATGATAAGTCTAGTGACCATCTGTCATCATACAAAGCGACTGCAAGGTAATTGACTATATTCACTGTGCTATACATTACATCCCTGTAGCTTATTTATTTTATAACTGGAAGTTTGTACCTCTTAATCCCTTTCACCTATTCTGCCCAACTCCCCCCAACTCCCTCCCCTTTGGTAACCACCAGTTTGTTCTCTGTATTTATGAGTCTGTTTCTGTTTTGTTTGTTTGTTTTGTTTTATAGATTCCACATATAAGTGGAATATAGTATTTGTCTTTTACTATTTGTCATATAGTATTTATCTTTCTCTGTCTGACTTATTTAATTTAGCAAAATACCCTGTAGGTCCATCCACATTGTTGCAAATGGCAAGATTGCATTCTTTTTATGGCTAACATTCCATTGTGTATATATATATCCATTTGCCTATCAATGGATACCTAGGCTGCTTCCATATCTTGGCTAAATAATGCTGCAATGAACATAGGGGTGCATATATCTTTTCAAATAATTGTTTTCGTTTTCTTCAGATAAATGCCCAGAAGTGGAAGTGCTGAATTGTATGGTAGTTCTATTTTTAATTTTTTGAGGAACCTCCATACTGTTTTCCATAATGGCTGCACCAATTTACATTCCCAGCAACAGTGTTCGAGGGTTCCCTTTTCTCCACATCCTCACCAACACTTGTTTTTTGTTATATTTTTGATAATAGCCATTATGACAAGTGTGAGGTGATATCTCATTGTAGTTTTGATTTGCATTTCCCTGATGGCTAGCGATGCTAAGCATCTTTTCATGTATCTGTTGACTATCTTCCTTGGAAAAATACCCACTCAGGTCCTCTGCCCATTTTTTAATTGAATTGTTTGGGGCTTTCTGATGTGTGATTTCTTTATATATTTTGGATATTAACTCCTTCTTAGACATATCATTTGCAAGCATCTTCTCCCATTCAGTATGTTTTTTCATTTTGTTGATGGTTTCCTTCGATGTGCAAAAGCTTTTCTGTTTGGGATAGCCCCATTTGTTTATTTTTGCTTTTGTTGCCCTTGCCTGAAGATCTCCAAAAAAATATACTGCTAAAACTAATGCCAAGGCAGCATACAAGAAGCATACTTCTTCTGGGAGTTTTATGGTTTCAGGTCTTACATTTAGGTGCAAAATGGCAGACTGGATCTGTAACCAAGTCAGAAATCTGAAAAAGAACAATGCTACTGGACTACAGGAACACTTGACCTTGATGTCTTGAACATCACTTCCTAAGCCTTTAGCTGAATAGCATAGACTATGAGAAATATATTATCGTGTTTACCTTGGAATTACACTTCCCCAAAGGTCAATTTTTACATGGTAACATTCTCATTAAAATGTAAACAAGGAATGCCATTAAAGAAATAAGTTATAGACAGAAAATATAATGTTTATAATGTTATTTGCAGAATAAGACTGAATACTAAGGGGAACTGTAGCGATAAAGGCTGATCAAAATACAGTTACTTCGAATGTTATCACATTCAAATATGAACATAATCAAAAGGAAATGAAGAATTGTAGTTATGGTTCTTTAGATGGAAAAGAGCCATACTTTGAGTAATTCAATTTTACTAATTATAGTCTCTTGAAACATGAGATATGAGATTATAGAACAATCTTAATTTGACAGATTTAAACAAAAGTATTTAAACTCCCTAAGCTTTCAGTACCTAAACCACTTTAGCTGAGTATGAATTTCTTTTTTCTCTTCCAATGATGCAATAGCAAAGGGTAGTTTAGGACATTTAGCCATCTTGTCCTAACAAATAACCAATTCACCTTTTTTCCCAGTATATTCTTACGTATTGATTTTACCAAGTGAACCCAGACATCTGTCACACTTATCCAATACAGATCCTTTTCCTTGGAAACGTAGTTATAACATCAATCAGTCACTTGGCCTTTCACCTCTAATTCCTATCGCCACTGTCTGTCAATTATTAAAGCTTGTCCATTTCTCCAAATAAGTTATTTTTAAAAACTGAAATACACAGTGACTCCTGTGAAAAATATATGTTTCTTAGAAAAGCATGTAAATGTTCATGATTAATTTCTTCATTAAAATTACTTTTCTGGGTTGAAAACTAAAGTGTATAAACCCATATTTCAAAGACTTCTAGATATTTTCTTTTAGAACATAGTCCCTGAATGGTAGTATTAGCACTTGTAATCCAAACTCCAGTTTGAGGAAGACAACACAAAAAGAAATCCAAGCTGAGTGGCATTATTACAAGGGTCTTCAAATGGAGCAGAGTGGTTTGTCTCTGGCTGAACCCATTGAGAGTCACAGAATGACACCCACCTTGAGCTGCAGGCCTCCTGGGATAAGAGTGTTTGCTGGAAGGCTTTTAATGTGTTCGTTGACATAAGAGGAGAATTGCTCCTGCTCAGCCTGTAATTGGGGGCCAAGTTTAGAGAGATGACCTCTGTTGCTTTTGATAGCTGTCTGCAATTCATCAATCAGCCTGTTCACCTGGAGGGGTTAAATTACAAGAGTTGTTAGCAAGAAGTAATTGTTGATGTCACACCTATTAGATTTTTGAGTACTTAGTTTGATGTGGGGAAGATGACTTCAATATAAGAATTTGAGTATAGATCTATGTTCAAGTAAAGCGAATAGGCGATATATACATTCCTTCATCAACAAATTTTATTTATGGGAAAATTTCTAACTTTGTACTTCAGTAATATGGAATAGGTACCCATTTACAATTGCTGAATAAAAATTGTCTCTAGATACAAAAAGAACCATATACATTGACAAGTTTGCCAAGGACTTTTAAACAGCTTAACAGAATAAGACCTCTCTAAAACTTTAAGTAATCCAATATATGCGCCAATGACAATATTTAATTCTACTACATGTACCTTCCTTTTAAGAATATTTTATTTTACCATCTGTATGTTACCTTTAAAATTTGTAATATGTATATTAAATTCATTAACATTTTGTGGCCTTTTAAATGAATCAGTCTGTTCTCTTCCTTCCAAATACTTTAAAATATAATTTTCCAAATTTCATAAATACAATTTTTCAAAATATCCATACCTCAAAGACAATGCTCTATTCTAGACAATATTTTGAATATATACAAATTTCTGAATAATGCATAGAATTTTTCCAGAAACAGCAAAGGCTTAGAAACATGTACCTTTTATATTTAAATTTATGGATTTCTAATCAGAATATTTAAGAGACATATGAACTTGACTTACAGGTTATTAGTAAGACATACTGAAGACTCAAAAATAGTAAGTTAATATTTTAACCCTTATAGTTTACAAATTAAAAATCATTACAATTCTTTGACCCTTCACTGTGTTATATAAACTTATATTCTCTCTAATAGATTGGATTCTTACATAAACACTGGTCGATATATGGTAGTGACTAAAAGAGATGAAAAGCAGGAATTCTCTTTATCCATGATCTTTAAAGTGATCAAATTAGACCCATCTTAGAATTATGAATGACTGTGAACAGGGCATGGATTTTTGAAATCTTGGGTTAAAATGCTGGCTCTTTCATTTACTGACTGAGAGGCTTTGAACAGGTAATAAAAAAACCTCATTCACAAATGAAGAATAATACTGACCTTACCATGTTAAGAATTAAATTAGATTAAAGAATGGACAGCACAATGGCTAACCTATAATGTCGCATGTACATGGTGTATTATTACAGTGTTTTCATTTTTAAATAGAGTAGTTTTCTGCAAATCAAGTTTTAATTGTTTTTCTTGGCCTGTCTTTCCTATTCCTACCATTATGTCACATGAAGAAGATAAAAATTTGAAACTACTTGCTACATAGATTCTCAACCTCACTTCAGTGTCCACAGATAAAATGCAAACTCCTTCTCCAAGAGTCTCCCATGTAATGACAGCTCATTGTCTTTCTCTCTCTCTCAGCTGAAAATATGGTATTTGCCCCTACCAACTCTGATGTTAAATCTATGATTTCTATCCCTTCCACAGAGGATTTCAGGGAAGTCAATGAAAGTAAGTTTGTACTATTATACATATGACTTGAATATTTACTTTTCTACTTTACCTAGTTAATTTGAAATATATATATATATTATTATGTGTATATATATATATATATATATATATATATTACTTCAACTATATTTAGCTTTTCCCAAGAACTTTAGAAGCATTATATGCATATAAAGCTAATTTAAATGATTCCTATTTTTCTTTGGTGTCCCATATCTTTCTTATTTGTCCCTATGTGATCAATCATATACTTTCTTTTAAACAATGCTTTTTTCTAAACAAAGAACTGGCAAACTTCTTCTCTATAAGAGCCAGATAACATTTTCAGTTTTGTGAGTTATAATGTCTCCATCAAAACCATTCGACCCTGCAGTTGTACTTTGTAAGCAGCTGCAGACAATATGTAAACAAATGGACAAGGCTGTGTTCCAATAAAACTTTATTTAGAAAAACAAGCAATGGGCTAGATTTGGCCCCAGGGCTTCAGTTTATCAACCGTTCTTCTAAACACATATATTTCCTCTCCTTCCTTTCTTTTCTTATAAGTAATACTCTGGCCAAGGCTTCATCTCCTCATCCCCTCCTGCTACTGGTATTACCAATACACCTACTGAGTGGCCTCCCTGTCCCTAGTCTCTCCCCCTGTAATCCATCCTGTCATCTCCACTTAATTAATCTACCTCCAATAGTATAATGAACCTTCAAGTAGCTCCCCCACCCACTGCATTCCTCATCTTGCTATTCAAGATTCAAGACCTTTTCTTACTTTCTAGAACAAATTTCTATGCTTTCCACAGTACAGTTAACCCTATAAGAAAGTCATAAAGCTTAAAATATGGCAATGATGGATGATTCAATATTAGTCAATGTTTTTCATCCTTATCTTTACATACTACCTTTCAGCAGTATTATTCTCAAAGATGATGGATAATAGTATATTCTACATACCAAAGCTAGAGACCAAAGCAGACCAAGTAACTTGCTCTTATAGGTATGTGACAAAATTAAAATCTAATATCCAAAGGCCTGAAATAGAAAGAGTCTACTTCTGGAAAGCACCGATCCTCTCTGAACCTATACCCAGCATCATTTGATTCAAGAAGATATAATTTTACGTAGTCTTTAAAATATACTAAGTATCATGCAATGTATTTTGTTAGTCAATAATACTGCTCTCTTTAATTTTATGTACTGTACCTAGTGCTACAGCAAGCCACCAAAAAAAAAAAAGGACGAATTTCAGGCTTTGATTTGAGAGCATCTTTATACGACTTGTTTTACTGTCACAATCCATAGCCTTTCACTGATAGGGAATTTCATGTGACATCAGAAATCAACCATACAATTGATGATGTCATTTGCATTCTAAAGGGCTATTGGTTAAAACCTTAAAAGTTTCATTTCCCATAAATTCTTCGTTGCTTCAAAAAATTTCTCTATCATTTTTGCCATTTTCCTTGGCCCCATGATTATCTGTTAATGTATGTGAAGCATAATTATAGCAATCATGGCCTGTATTTTTAATAACTTAAAACTATCAAATAAGATGCCCTAGTAAAGATTAACTTATATCTTAAACATAGGAGAAAATATATCAAGAATCCTGCCACTGACATTTTGATAAAGTTTCCAAGCAATTTTCCTCAAACTTTGTTACTTTAAAAATTCATAAGGAGATAACGAACAAGGTCCTACTGTATAGCACAGGGAACTCTACTCAATATCTTGTAATAACCTTTAGGGGAAAAGAATATGAAAAAGAATATATATATATATGTATATGTATATGACTGAATCACTTTGTTGTACACCTGAAATTAACACAACATTGTAAATCAACTATACTTCAATTTTAAAAAAATGCTTTTTAAAATTGGAAAAAAAAATTCATAAGGTCTTTTATTCTCAAAGTGCTCCATTTTATGTGTTACCCTGAAAGATAATGCTATGCATGAAATAACTCATATACCAAAATCAGATAGGTAAAACAATACTCCTGAATTATATTACATGATACGATTTTTTTTTTCAAATCACAGATGTTGCTAAAGGGGGGAAAATGTTCTTTAAAATTCTTCATCATGAATATTTTTTTCCTGCAAATCCTTTTTTTTTTTTCCTCTCTACAAAGGAATGTGAATGGGGGCAAAAGAAGACAAAACTTGACCTTTTGTGATCCCAGCATTAATGGGTCTGTTCATAATTCAATCTATGTGTGTGTGGGAGCATCCATGTGGAAACATAGAGGCCTGAGGGACATAAAGCCTTTCCCTTTAAACATTATCTGACCCTATCAGTCCCATTCACAAAAGAAGGCTTACGTATGCATATGTTGAAAAAATGCACCATCTCATTGTGCAGCCGAAAGCCTACACATTCTACTCTTCATTCTCTGTAGAAATGCAGCACGGAAGTGACACTTGTACAGAATTTGGGAGAGTGACAAATGAGCAGAAGGTAGCAAAAAAAAAAAAAAAAAGTATTCTGGTGAGGAAAAAAACCAAACTTCTGAAAGAATGCAAATGCACACCTGTCTATAAACATATACATAGGCTTTTTTGCATAAGATGTAGGGCATTTTGGTCATTCATGCAACCCTTGAATTTAGTTGAATTCTCAAGATGATTTAGAGTAAACAAAATATTGTTTTGTTTATAATCATTCTAAAATGTATACCTATCAAAGTTGTACACTCTGAACCATACATTGTGAATACTGTACTTTATCTATTATGAATGACTCTTTGAAGAGCTCTTGGTTTTTCTAGTGATGAGTTCAGCTGTTGGCCTGAATGCTATGTGGCCTGGAGTCCATATATGTTAGTGAGGAGACTCCAGAGCACTTTATACTGAATTGCCACTTGAAATCAGCACAAAGGGTGGCAGCCTCCACGCTAGGAACATCATCTTGGCATGCAGCATATGGGACAGTCTCGAAGCCGGGTCAGTGCTTAAACTTAAGACCAAGACACTTTCTAATTTACAGCATAGTTAAGAAGAACCAGAAAGGGGACAGGGAGATAAAAATGGGTGTTTTAAACTCCCTAAAGTCTCTTACTTGGTTCAGGCCCAAGGGTACAATGTTTTTCAGGTTAAGAAGTGAACATAATCAGACTTGACAAATGAAGGCTAGAAAAGACATAGGAATCTGTGAGCAAAATTAAGTATCTTTTAATCTTAAAATTAAGGATGAGCTGCAGTGTAACCACAGGAAAACTGAAGTACCATCTCGTATTCCAATCACTTCCACTACTCCCAACTTTCTAATAGATTTCCAGACCCCTTCTGAGATGGACGTTATTTTGGAAGATCTATATTGTTTCCAGCCAGGGGTCACTTATGTGCTGCCTTTAGGCCTATTTGAGTCCAACATCCCCATCAACTCATGGGGGACGGGGTGATTGAAAATAGAGACATTTAAAAACATCTTTATAACTCATCTGGCAAGAGGGGTATGATGATGGCAATAAGGATGATGTCAAGTATACTTTTGGAGGAAGCAATAAGAATGCACTTCACAGACCTCTGGCTACAGGAGCATAATTGACCAAGGGTCCAAGCTATTATGCTCTTACACCCATCACCAGGTTGGCACCAATGTCCAAGGATACTAAAGCAGGTCCAACCCAGGGAGTCACAAGACTCCTCTGATGGACAACTTTGACTCAAGGATACGCCAGCAGCTTTGCCAAACCCTCCTTAGACTGCACAACAGTCTAGGATACTTCCACCCAGTCTTCCCTTCCTCTCTCCTTCACTCATGTTCAAGCCTGCGTTTCAGTCTGACAGGTCTCCCAGCCTTACCTAGAGCTCTCCCCATTTTCTCTCATGGCATTTCTTCTATTAAAATCCATACACATTAAAAAAAATTCGATCCTGGTGTCAACTTTTCAGAGAATCTGGAATAACACACTTTTAAACTGACAAAAAAATTACACACAGATTTCTAGTAGACCATTCCTAAAAAGCTTGATACAGTTCAACATATACCATCACATCGAAGTAGTCTCGTGATGCATACGTTATTATTATTCCCAGTTTTCATATGGAAAAATTACATGAAATAAAATAAGATTTTAAGATAAAAATACAGACAGCAGATACCTAAATCTAAATCTCAGATTTCATGACGTTTACTTAAGGTTTTGAAATATGTCTAGAAATATAGTATTTTGTAAAAAAAACTGTGGGCAAAATTAAATGTTGGAGTAATCTCCCCATTCCCATATTTTTCATTTCTTTTTACCATCATGATTTCACATCTCTGTATATGAATTAGGCGCAAAACTTGATGTCACTGACTTACACATCAAAATTAATAAATCACTTTCAAATTAATGATATAAAAATTATTCTCATAGTGTATGGAACATATTTAGAGGTTCTTACACACACGCATTCACACCCACACACACAATCAATATTCCCTTCACTGTGTGATTTTTGAAGCAAACAAAAAGCATTTGGAGTCAGCTGATCAAGCAAATATGTGACCAAATAAAGCCCTTTGCAGGAGAAAAAGTGATGTATATAGGTACTAAAGAAACATTAAGATGATAATAAAGGAGTACCAAATAAGCATTAATACTGTTGGATTTTCCAGAAAAAACAATTTTCATTTCCAGCTTTGGTAAGAAGGTGGCATTAAAAATGATATTTTTAGCATAATGATCATTTTCCTGGGCCACTTCAAGTTTCCAGTTCCATTGAAATTATAGTTTTGCATAAAATATCAACAAGCAAAATAATTACAATATTTAAAATGCAGAAAATAGTTCATCTATTCATTCTTTTAGATTATTTCTATTTGTTCTCTAATAATAATTTATTATAGATACAATTTTAATTATACTAATTCAACTAGAGATTTTTATTTGCCTTTCCTAAAGTTGACGATATCAAGATATATGATAGATTCATTTTAAACTTACTGTGAAAATGTAATAAACTGTGATAAACAACATTTTTCAATTGGATAGAGGACAATATCTTTTAAATCTAGAACCAACAACCTAGTTTTTAACTTGTTAGTATTAAGTGGAATGAGTCAGAACTATAATTTAAAAGTATACAATTGTTATTTGTTATATCTTAGAAAAATTCAAGTTGAATTTTTCTTATGAAATATTTCCTACTGAGATTACCAATCAATGTTTATAATATAATCTTTAATACTGCACATATATAAGCCCCAAATATTAAGGTAGTCTCTAACTTAAAGAATTGAATTCACTCAGGAAAATCTGATGCATTATACTTGTTCATCTATTGTAAAATACATAGTTAGCAAAGGAGATGCAATTACCATGATAAGAAAATATTAAAACCCTAAAGCTTGGATAGATTTCCTTGCCAAAATGTCAAAAGAGAATTATATGAAAGTTTAATTTTTAAATATTCATGCTATCTTATTCTTTGAAGTTGCTTATAGATTTTATTTACTGACAGTAGTACATGGAAATTAGCAAATTCATGATCTTTCCTCAGAAAGATTAAATGCTTTTGCATTCCAGGAAACTACATGAAAATCATTTTTCCCTTTTGTCTAACACCAATTTTGTATTATTATTTCATTTATGGAATATGCTGTCAACTTCACAGCATGAGCTTTGGAGAGAAGAAGCCTTGCGTTAATAGTCCTTCTTTACAATATTGCCTACAGAATCTTATGATTAGTTCACTTAGGCTTGACATTTATAAACTACAGTTTTTCCTTGATAAGAGATAACATTGTTAGCATTTCTAAAATTCAGAAAGATAATTCTATTCCTAGAAAGTCAGAAAATAAAAATAAGATTTTATTATTTGTTCAAAGTTCAATAAAATTTTAATGCTTTTCCTATGTTAGCATAGTCCATAATTTCTAGATTCCAGTTGCAGGTAATAATTTCCTAATTTAGGAAATTTATGAGGAAGTATTCATAAGTAGTTTTCAGAAAATTATAATATGATTTATTCTTTCAAGCATATAACTATTTTTCAAGCTGCCTATATCAATACAATGATTTCCAGTTTTGACCAGTTTTTTTCATTATGTTTTATCAGATAAGCAAAGTTGGTTCACTACCAAATCAAAGTAAAATCTGCCTTAATTTTAAAATTAGTATTTATTGTAGTTTTACAATACAATTTAAAAAGTAAGTTCCTTACTTCTTCTTGTGCCTTATGGCATTCCTTTGCTGTCATTGAAAGAATGACTTTTTCGGTAATTTTCCCTTTCTGTTCATCCACAGCCAGGTTCAACTAGAGAAATAAATAAATAAGTAAATGACATGAAAATAGGCACCTATTGACACCTAATAGCAATGTTTATTCAAACAACTAATTTAGCATAATCATGGAAGGTGATTTCAAATTAATTTGGCCCATACGTATGTGAAAATGAATTCCATTTAGATTAAATAAGTCGAAATGTTTTTATATTTAAAACATTTAACACTATTTTTCACTTCCACTTTTATTGTTTTTAAGCTTACTAAAATATGATTTGGGAAGGGGTCCTAAATTGCAGACATTTGACACTGATGAGTACCTTTTAAAAGCATTTTGTCAAAATTAACATAGCAAAATTTTTTAAAATTAGGCTGATATTCCTATTCAAATCTTTCATTGCCAGTAGGGAATAAATTGGCTGCTGTTATGTCAGGATAAGAATTCAAGGAAATAAATCAAAAGCAAATGTCAATTCACTGTCGAATGGTTCAAAATGATTCACAATATTTCACAACACAGAGTAAGTTTTACCTTAAATACCTGAACAGTTACTTCCAACCTGCTCCATGAACAGAGCCAGATAGAGGTCTTCTACTATTGCTGTAAACCCATGTTATAAAAAGGTGAATGTGGCTCATTCTATATTTCTTTATAAACAATCCCCACCAAAACAAAATGCTATTTTCAAAAAAGGGAAAAAGCTAAACTCACACAGTAATATTCACTCAGCAGATTGGTATTAATAGGAAGAAAGAAAATAACAGCCTGATTACAGAACCTTCTGAATTGGAATATTTAACAATTCTTAAGCAATGAACATGCCATGTAGTATCCCCTTATTGAAGATTAAGAATGAATAAGGACCATGGTTTTTGTTTTGTTTCTTTTGTTAATGCTGTTGTTATTTTAAATAGGCTTTCTCAATTGTATGCCTGGCAAATCATGTTTGAGTTAACATGAATCTCTAATCTATACCCTGCCTGAAGACCTACTCCTATACTTGGGATAGAACGGGAGTGGGGGTCAACAATATAACCTCCTCAATCTACCTATTCTTATATACTATAAGAATAGTATCAAAACTGTGAAGTCTTCATCTACTCATATGTGACACAGCTCAGTTTATCAGAGATCCTGTTTTGGGAGAGGAGAAAAGTCTAAGGAATCCTTAGGTGATCCTAATGATCAGCTTAGATAAGGAGCTGAGAAACATTTCTATAAGAACCAGATAGTAAATATTTAGGCTTGGGGAAAAGGGGGACAGACAAGTCTCTTTTGCAATTACTCAACTCTGCCCCCATAGCATGAAATAGAAAATACATAAACAAATGAGCGTGGCTATGTTCCAACAGAACTTAAAAAACAAAAAAGAGGCAGACTGAATTTGGACAGCAGGAAATGTTTGCAAATGTTTGCCTGTCCTAGACAGAGAACCACTGAAAACAAGTTTAAAAAAAATAAAATAAAAATGTGATATACATGATGACTACAGGTATAATGCTATATGGTATATTTGAAAGTTTGTTAAGACAGCAGATCCTAAGAGTTCACAAAAAAAAAAAAACCATTTTTTTAAACCATATGAAATGGTGGATGTTAACTAAGCTCACTGTGGTAATCATTTCACAATATATAGAAGTAAAGTCAAAAAATAATTTAAAAATTTAAAAAAAAAAGTCAAGTCTGCTATTCACCTTAAACTTACACAGGGCCATATGTTAATTATATCTCAATAAAAACTGGGAAAAATCATCATGTGAAGCTATTCTTAGAATCAATCTCCCCAAGAAATATTTTTTCCTGTGCTAAAGTAATACAGAAAATGTAATATTATAAAATGTCAAATATCAAACTCAACTTCCACACAAGGAAGCCTATGTGTAAACTGTGGCACAACGTACTTGTGTCAAGTCTCTATGATTATTTCTTTATCAGGGGAGTCTCATTTATCAGGGAGGCTATGTGAAGGAGAGTGACTGGGGAATATTCACCAAGGTCATCTTTTCTTCACAAAGTTAATTTCCAAATGCAAAAACATTCAGAGCAGATCTTTTTTGAAAGGAAGCAAAACAGAACAAAAACAGAGCTATAAAACTCTTTGGTGCCACTGCAGTAGGTCCAATTCAATGTGGTCTCCCAGGACCATGACATGTAGAACTGCTTCCAAGTAACTCTTTAAAAGGTAGGAATTCTTTACCTATAAAACCACTACAGTTGGAAAAATCACCTCATTCTAACACTCAACTTCTATCCTATTCTACATAAGCTGAGGGAAAAACATATCAACACTGAAAAGCATTATATGCATAGTACCAAATAGAGAACCCAGTAAGATATTGAAAAATAAATTGTCAACAAAACATAAGGATACATACATGGGGCCTTTTCTGAAAACAGCCTAGACATTCAAAAAGAAAGATATCTTAATACAATCATTTAGAGGAAATTATTGAGAGTAAAAAGTCAAATTAAGAGAACTCATTTTCACTTTGAGGTATTAATAATATGCAGTGCAAACAGCATCTCTCCCTCAAATTCCAGACACAATAACAACAGTAAGATTCTTCTCTCCTGTCACTTTGGAAGAGAACATCCTGTTTCTTCATTAAGACAAAACTAGATGCTTTTGATTTGCTGTTCTTAAAATATATGAAATAATTTTTTGTCAATGGGCTTGAAATTTCTGAGGCTAATTTTCATGTATAAAGAGGTAGACACTTCAAATTAAAAATCAAAACAAACAGGAAGGATGAACCTTGAGGGCATTATCCTAAGTGAAAAAAGTCAGATGGAGAAAGATAAATAGCACATGATCTCACTTACATATGGAATCTTAAAAAAGAAAAAAAGCTCATAGATACAAAGAACACTGGTGGTTGCCAGAGGTGGAATGGGGGTTGAAAGGTGGGCAAAATGGATGAAGGAAGTCAAAAGGTACAAACTTTCAGTTATAAAATAAGTAAGTCATGGGGATGTAATGTACAGCATAGTGACTATAGTTAATAATAGTGTATTGCGTATATGAAACTTGCTAAGAGAGTAGACCTTAAAAGTTCTCATCACAAGGAAAAAATCTGTAACTATGTATAGTGAGGAATGTTAACTAGACATTGCAGTGATATTTCTCAATATACCTCAATAAAAACAGAAAGATGGCTAAAATTTGTATATAACTATGAAAAGCCAAATCTCTACCAAACAGGGGAGTGGAAAATCAAGTTGCTTTTTTCTGACTACATCATGCCCTTTTAAAATGTGAGAAAACACCCCCAAATATTTGTGATACACATCAAAACTTACCAAGCTAAATAGGAAGGTTTAATTCACCATTTTTGCCAGAGCTTGCTGCTAAGAGTTTAAAAATATGTAAGTAACAAACACTGGCTATCCTAAAGTAGGTTAAAGTTGGCACATTCAATATGAATGGTAACCAGAAAAAAACAGACAAGAGACTACTCAAAGACAGTAGCAGATATGGAAGAAACAAGGAACACAATGGCTCTGTCAAAGAAAAATGAACAAAATGATTCAAGACAATGGTCTGGTTAGAGAAACAAGATTAAAAAGGAGTAAGTTCACCTCAAACAATTTGTTTAGGAATTAAGAAAAGAAATCCACAAAAGTATACCTGAAACAACAGATTCCAATGAAATGATTTCTAGTGGTTGTTACCTTTTAGACTATATTTTACATAAAACTATTAATGCTAACATAGCAGACATTATACTTTCTCTAAAGCCCTAAAGGGTCATAGATTACTAATGTATATATAGTTTTATACAAAACATATGGCCCATTGTGACTATAATAGAAAGTACTCTTAATTTTGAGGAATTCTTCAAACATTTGCTGGCTCAGGAAAGCTCTACTATGGACATCCTAGAGAGGAAAACAGGCTCAAAACCTCCTGCTGGAGAAATACAGACAGAACAGCAGTAATCTCATTTTATGGTATCATTAACATTATATGGCTTTTCTGTCCTGTTTTTTTAACTCCCCAGAAAAAATATTTTAAGGCATATTTATGAAAATCATAAAGACTAATTGTGTAAAAAATTTAACATGACATTAACATAAAATAAAATCTATTTTATAGGAGAAAATAACTCTAAAGCAAACGCTAGAGTCTAGTTATTAATATTTTTAGAAAAGCTACAGTAGTCAAACACTGGTATGTTCTATCTAATTCATATTGACATTCCAGATAGGTACCAGCCAAAGAGGGAAGAGTCTATTAGTCTAACCAAACTGTCAGTGCTCTGAACTGTAGTTCTGCATGCAGTTTTCTCTGTATTCTCCAGAAAAGCAGTTAAAGATTTAAATGTGAAGCATATGATATGTGTTGTGTACAATGTTCTTAATAAAGCAACATAACCCAAGAAGAAAACTGAATCTATCTTTCTATCAAAAATCTTTTTGACCAGTAAATATTGATCTATTAATAAATTATTTGATCCATATTTTACATGCAGATCAATACAGGCAATACAGTTTAGCATAAACAACAGGACAATCAGCCTTCATATATATTGACAAGTTTCCCAATGGTCTGTTAATATACAAAAGACTGGGACAAATTACTTATTTATATATACAAAACATGGTTATAAAGACCAGCTGCAGGTATTTTTTTGAAAAGTGCATTTTAATAAGGTCCTATTCAGTTAGGGAACAAATGGGGAAGAAGTAGTTTGCACTACAGAGTTTAGCGCGAGAGCTTTCTCTTTTTCTAACCACGAAATCAATCATTTGTCCAGACTGTGGGAGTCAGAGTTAGTTACTGAAAAGAGCTCCGTACATAAACAAGTCAATAACTCATTGTGTGTTATTGTCGAGCTGAAGAAGTCGGCTTTCAAAAAGCTGCCCCTGCTTCTCTCAGAATGAATGTCACTGTATTCAGAGACTGGGAGAGAGTCCTTTGTTTCCAGCCATTGCTGGCTGCCATTTATGTATGGGAACAGGAGGTGGCTGCTAGGAGTGCGAGGGAAGACACTACTTGGTATCACGGATGTCCAGAAAAAAACTCTGAA